CGGATCCTGGGTGCAGACCTACACACCACTCATCAAGCCGTGCTGTGGCAGTGTCCCACAAAATAGAGGAAGATTGGCATAGATGTTAGCTCAGGGCCAATCTTCCTCACCAAAAAAAAAAAAAATAGCTCTAGACCCATGAAACAATTTCAAGAATATTATAGCCTTTCAAACTCTTTGTTGGATGACCACGTTGCCATAGAATCTAGAGAAGAAATCAACGCATGCACAAAACGTCCATCTACATTCAACAGCGACCACAGCTCTTGATACACGTGAACCCAGACACAAACAAGACCTACTTTACACAGTTTCTAGTTTGTTGCTAAGAAACCACGACTGCCTGGTATGAGTGTGTGACCACTCTGTGTCTTGTGTCAACTCATTATGCCAACAGAATTAGAGCGAACTTAACATTAGAGAATGGAATGTGGGATTGCATTTCTCATCACCTATACAGTTAGCCTATTGTTGTCTAGAGGCCTAAAGAATATTTTCCAGAACATGGTGGAAGAACAGAGAGGTCAAAGAAGAATTGAAACTTTGTAGGAGGGAGGAAGGAAATATGATTTTTCACATGACAATCCACAAAGGTCTACCAACTTGGTGGCAGCCATTCATCTTCTCCCCTTTTTCCCTTTCAAATACTGTGCTGTCATACTGGTCAAGCATAGACCCCTAGGGATTGGTGCCATGATATAAGTAGACCAGAAGAGTGAGGGGCAATATTTTCACAGTTATGGTCATCGTCACCCTAAGCCACTCCCCTCTTCCGGTTGTAGGAGAACAAAGGCTGATGGGAACGCGGTGGCATTCTCCTCCCCAGGAGTGATAGGGTCAAAGGTGATCGGCGTTTCCTCCTAGTAGCCTGTCCCAGATGGCTGGGCATCCCTTAGCCTGTCAGTGGCTGCAATTTCCCAGAATTCCACAATCACCCTGGAGCCCAGAAACTCACGAGATGGTTTCTTTCTGAGCTTCTGGAGGACATTTTGTAAATCACTTCTCTTAGGAATGCAAACGATCTCAGGATAACTCCAAATTATTCATTCACTCTCTCAGCTGGATTTAAGTTCCTTTACCCCGTTTCATTGGGCAATCAATTTTTTCAAAACATTGATCCAAGCGATGACACAGTAGCACCAGAGAGAGCACAGGAGACAGATAAGTTAGCAAAGGACAATTCAGTGTGTGAGCAAGTGGTCAGTGTAAACACACGGAGATGTGGGGCCCCGGATAAGACACCTGTTCCTGAATGGGACAGGTGTGTGTGTGTCAGAGAAGAGGTCCTTGAAGAGGTGACATCTGAGGACCCGCAACTGTGGCTTCTCCACTTGAAAGCTGATACATGGCCTAAGTCATCTCTCCATCTACCCTCTGTCTAGCACAGAGCCTCACACCTGGTGGACATGCAATAAGCACGGCCTTGGATTGTCACCTACTCAGGCATCTCAATGACACTCGACCATTCCAGCCATTGGTGTTCACCTCTCTCTAACTTGCTCATTCCTGGAGCCCTACGGTAAGTTCATTTGTGTTTGTTTAACTTTGATTTGACTATTTTATAAAAACCAAATCAAAGCCAGCTTCCAGGCTCTCACCATGTGTTGAAAGAGGAGCCCTTCCACTATGGGTCTAAGCAGAGCCCGGCACCCCTCGGCCCATTCCAGGCATCAGTGCCATGAGGCTCCTCAGACCAAGCCCACCTGCTGGGGGTTCAGGCCAGTCAGGGGGCAGATGGCAGGGCTCTAGCTCCAGATGCTCACCATCTCCATTGTCAAAGCAACGGGGCTCCTCTCACAGCTGTGTGGGCATGCACACGCTCATAGGTTTTGTTTGGGGGCAGCAGTTTTCCAGAAAAGTAATGCAAGTGTCGGTTAAACTCATTAAGTCAGAAAAAGGAAAACACACCTACTTTATGTGTTAGCTACATTTTGAATGATAGCCCTTTTTAAAATACACCCGATATTAGAGAGAAAACTTAGACAATGACTGTTTAGAAGCCTCCTGTTATTAATACCTAATTTATAGAGCTGTATCACGTGGGTTCTTCAAAGTCCTGTCTGTGAAGGTAAACTGTGTACCTTGGATTTTGATCTTCCTTAATCACTGTTTTCATCGTGTCACTTTTCTGTTCAAGAACTTGGGCTGATGCCTAAGTCCCACTGAAGCTAGTCCAAAGTCTTCGCTCCCATATTTTTTATTGCAAAGTCCTCCCCAACTTAGCCTCCTGCTCTCGCCAGGATTGTTGCCTCTGCTTATGCTCTAAACCATGCTCATTCCTGCCTCCATACATTCGGTTATGCTGTTCCCCCACCATGACCGCTCTTTCCCTTTTCTCCACTAATAGTAAAACACCTTACTCTTCAAGCTTCAATGTATGTTTGCTTTCCTCCTGGAACTGTCTTGGATAATCTTAACCCTCCTCTCCTCCTCAATCTGGATCCTTCATCATTTATGCACGTGGCCTGTTCTGGTCTTCTGCACTTCCGTGTGTTTTGTGTCTCTGTTTCAGATGTGGAAGGGAAAACATATATAATAGGAAGCTCATTGGATTTGGTTTGGGACTCAGCTTTGTCACCTATTAGCTGTGTGACCTGGGGCAAGTTACTTAACTTTTCTGGACCTCAGATACCTCATCTATTAAAAAAAAAACCACAATAATGTGTACTTTGCAGGACTGTGGGGATTATTATTAGAGGTAATGGGCATAAACGCACCTGGCATACAGGGAGCTTAATAATGGTGGCCACCGTTGGCGTTAATGATCCCCACGGCTTCCTTCTTCTGGCCTGACCTTCTCGAAGGACGTGATTAAAGAGCTGTCTGGCTGCAGCAGGGGCAGGAAAGCAGTGACTTCTTCCTGATCCCAATCCTGTCTGAACATGCAAACCCCTCCTACCTGCCTCCTCCCCTCCCTCCCGCCACACACAAAATGCCACTCGCCATTGTTGGCTCGAGGGAGAGATTGTGCATTTGGATCCAGGAGTGTTGTTTGCTCCTCCTTTCTGCCTTGGTCTGGGTGTTTCCCGTAAACGTGTCCTCTTCAAGCCACTCCCCCATCTTCCCCCGCCAGGGCCCAGCTCAAATCCACTTCCTCCTTTATCCCTTCAACAAAAAGTTGCTTGGGATGCCTCTGAATCCTCATCTCGCTGTACGTGTCCTTTGCTCACGGCCCTGTGAAGAGTAACGGAGTTAAGCAGCGAAAAGCCCTTAGAATAATTCCTGGCGCAGAATTAGCACTCTGGACGTGTTGGCTTTTATTATTATCATCCTTGTTCTCCATCACTGACTGTGCTGGGTGCCGTACGTCTGTCCATCTGTCTATCAGTCCTTGTTCCCCTCCAGGCCCAGTCTCTGTCCCCAGAGGCTGACACCCAGGGACTGCAGGACCAGGCTCCTTGCATCTAGCTTCCTGTTGGGCTCGGCTAATGAGGAACCGAGAAGAGGGATGGGAGGAGGGAGGACAGTGTTGTCCCAGGGGCTTCCCTGTGGGCTGCTGAGGGCTGAGGCCACCCAAGGCCCCTCCACACAGCTTTCTCCCTCTCTGTGTTCTGATAACGGCTCCCTCCTCTCACTGCCTCAGGCTTCCTCCTGTTACCAGGCCCAAAGTACTGCATGATCCCTTTACTAAATTCTCTTGAAATTACACAAATTGACTATGTGGTCTGTTTCTTGCCAGGACCCTGTCGAGACCCCTCCTTTCTAAATATTGTACATAACCATGTTTTGTTTGGCCAAATGTCATAAGTCTGTCAGGTTCCCTGAGGCTCTTCTTGATGTACTTTTTTAAAGACTATTTTAAATATATATGTATTTTTTTTCTTTTTTTTTTTGGTGACGAAGATTAGCCCTGAGCTAACATCCATTGCCAATCCTCCTCTTTTTGCTGAGGAAGATAGGCTCTGGGCTAACATCTGTGCCCGTCTTCCTCTACTTTATATGTGGGACGCCTGCCACAGCATGGCTTGATAAGCAGCGTGTAGGTCCACACCTGGGATCTGAACCTGCGAACCTGGGGCCGCTGAAGCAGAGCATGTGAACTTAACCACTACGCCACTGGGCCGGCCCCAATATATATGCATTTTTAAGATCGTTACTAGTATGAATTTGAGAATTCATACTAATTTTAAATATTTAACCTTGAGGCTCCCTGAGAATATGTCAGGGACCCCTGGGGTTTGGAGGGTTCCTTGAGAATGCCATGCAGTGCCCTAAAGCAATGGGCCCTGGATGGGGATGTCTGAGGAGATGATGGGGAGGCCACTCTATGAAGGTCATGGCCTTTATGGCAGGGGCCCTTAGGAAGGATATCTTCTGCCCCTTCACAGAGATGCAGTGCCCCTTAGAGAATGAAGGAGCCTCCCCTGCTGGCTGCACTGGGCAGCAGAAAGAACAACGCACAACACCAGGGGTCTCTCTCCCCACATTGCTTTGGACAGCAGAGCAGGAGTGTACCAGAGGGAGCCCCACAGTGCGACAGATACCCTTGACAATGGCAGCCCCAAGCCAGATTTCATTTGTTTAAAAAAAAAATAAAGAGACATTTCTTGAACCTCATTGTCGTGGCAGAGACTGTCACCTCTCCTATTTTGTAGGAGAGCCTCAAGACAACGGCTGTCCAGAACAAAGACCTTACTTCCCGGAATCTTTTTTTTTTTTAATTCTTTTTTCTTTTTTTTTTCTGTGAGGAGGATCAGCCCTGAGCTAACATCTGCCAATCCTCCTCTTTTTTTTGCTGAAGAAGACTAGCTCTGGGCTAACATCCGTGCCCGTCTTCCTCCACTTCATATGGGATGCTGTCACAGCATGGTTTAACAAGCGGTGCGTCAGTGCGCGCCGGGGATACGAACTGGCGAACCCCAGGCTGCCGCAGCGGAGCACACGCACTTAACCGCTTGCGCCACCGGGCCGGCGCCCCAGATTCTTTGCAGTTAGATGTGAGCAGAATTTCCAGGTCCTGCCCTTAAGGAAAGGGGCATGATGATAGGAATTTTTTCTTACTCTGGGCCCATGCTCCTTCTATCCCTAGGATATTGACTTCACCTGCAGGGTCTGAGTGGGCTCCCCACTTATGTCTGCATTCCAGTGGTTGCCAGGGTTTCAGGATGGGGGATGAAAGTGACCACAAAAGGATAGGAGGAGGAGTTTATTGGGATATGGGTCTGTCCTGTATCTTGATTATGGTGGGGATTACATGAACCTATAAATGTGTTTAAATTCACAAAGCTGTACACCAAAAGGGGAAAAAAGTCAATTTTACTGCATAATTTAAAGAATAAAATTAATACACACACATATGTATTTGAGTATATGAATACGTGTCTGTGTGTATACATATATATATATATGTATACACACACACAGAGAGTATTTAGTTGCATGCCTGATGCACAGAAAGTGATTTAGAAGAATGCTACTCAATGTGTGGTCCACAGCCCAGCAGCCCACAATTATTGTTAGGGTCTGTGATGAGATAGGACCTCGTGTTAGAAGATAAATCAACTACTTTGCTAAGCACACGCTTTAGGCTGTAGCTGAATTTTCTTTTGCATAGTAAGACTTTCTCAGTGAAGTTAACAGTGTGTTGATTTCCATTATGATGAAGCTCCTTTTGTAGAAGCTGATGGGCACTTTGAGTAGCACCGCTCTAGAAAGTGTAGCTATAATAATATCTACGTTATTTATGTAAGAGCATTGTAACAACCGTCACTGAAGGCAGAGACAGTGGCATTGATCTCTGAGTGGCCAGCGCTGGGCATAGGACCTGGTTGGCAGGCAGGAGACGTCAAATCAGGTTTGTTGGAGAAGAGAATGAGGCCCTGAAAGAGGGATGATTGGCACACACGGCTCATCCACTCATTTGATTAATGAACGTTTACTGAGGAGCAGACCCATGAACAACGCACTCTAATGCAAGGCATATTGAAATGCCAGGCAGATAGTGGCCCAAGGAAAGAGCCCTGCACAGGGACCAAAATGGGTGATGACCTGCTGGAACGTGTGTCTTTCCTGATGCCAGAGATTGTGCAATTTTCCATGTGCACCCTCAGAATGAGTCCTTCTCTCCAAGACTGCGTATAGTCTGCTGCCCTGCCACCACCTGTTTTAAGTCCGGAGCCCCTTGTCCTGCTTCAGAAAAGTCAGACAAGGGGCTGGCCCCATTGTGTAGTGGTTATGTTTGGCATGCTCCGCTTCAGTAGCCTGGGTTCGTGGGTCCGGATCCCTGGCGCAGACCTACACCACCCATCGGCCATGCTGTGGCAGCCACCCACATGCAAAATAGAGGAAGATTGGCACGGATGTTAGCTCAGGGCCAATCTTCCTCAAGCAAAAAGGGGAAGATTGGCAACAGATGTCAGCTCAAGGTGTATCTTTCTCAACAGAAAAAAAAAAAAAAGAAAAGTCAGACAGGATCTGGCCCACGACAAGGCAATGAGATGAAGCAGGTGGAAAAACTTGAGACTACAATACAGAAGCCAGCACCCTGGCCCCAACACTGCCTGCAACAAGCTGGGTGGCCTCGGGCGGGTGGCCCTGTCTATGAGCCTCTGTTTCCCCAGCTGCCCAGAGGATGGGCTGGGCTGTCAGACTCTCTCACCTCCACCCCTCCTACCCAATATTCTCAGATTCACTGGGGCTGAAATTGTCACTCACTGACTGGCCCTTTCATCCTTCTTTTCCTGCCCGAGATCTGCAACTCTGAGTATGTTGGTGCTTTGCCGAGGGCCAACAAGCTTTGACCACAGAGAAAAGCGTGTGTCTCTGCTGACGAGACATCCAGAAACTGACGGCCAGGCCTCAACCTCCCCTCCCTTTTTGAATTCTTTGCGTGCCCTCGGTACAGCCCACGGTTCCTGGGCAAAGAAATCCATCATCTCTGCCATCACAGACTTTCTGGCAGATTGCAGCAGCCTCTATTATTTCCATTTATAATTTATACGGCCCATTTCCACTGCCAAGGACAGCCCTCAAAACAAACTTGATCCCGCACAGGGAAACCAGGAGCTCTGCCCTCTGAGATGTGTGTGCTCTCCCCCTACGGCCCTACACGACTTTTCCAAAGTCTTTCACTTTACTGGGGCACCTCCCTAGGCCAGGAACAATGGGACCTCGGAATAATAGGACAGTCACCACAATTTTAGGGCTGCTCTCGAGGCAGGGATGTGGGTGACATTCAACACATAGGATGGTTTGCAGCAGCTGCAGAGCTGTACCTGGCAGGCTGGAGCCCACAGCTTCATGCAGTTACGTCTTAGAAGTTAAGCAGCATGGTGAACCAGGCATTGGGTTCCTATCAGGAGCCTAGTTCCATTTCCTTGATATGTTTCCTGCAAACCTGTCATGCCAACACTCTGCACTTCAGCCTCCTCACCTGTAAAATATAAATGCACCAGCTCCTGCCTTGCCAACCTCACTGGGTTGTGGCCAGGATCAAGAGAAATAGTACATGTAGAAGTTCTTTGTAAAACACTATATACTCTGGCTGCTCAAAGTGTGGTCCATGGACCAGCAGCATCGGCATCACCTGGGCTCTTGTTAGGAATGCAGGATCCCAGGCCCCTCTCCAGACCAAGGCCATTTGTGTGAGAAGCACTGTGATATGCATACATAAGTGTGCTATGGGGGGAAGGGATATGCAGTTTGGAGCCTGGAGCTCTTAGTTCAAATTCAGCTCTGCCACTGACTGTCTTGGCGGCTTTCGGAAAGCTGCTGGAGCCTCGTCTCCTCAACTAGAAAACAGTTTCACACTGCTGCTGTAGAAGAATGTGACATGGGGGCTGGCCTGGTGAGGTAGCCATTAAGCGCCCGTGCTCTGCTTTGGCGGCCCGGGGTTCGCAGGTTCGGATCCCAGGCGCGCACCAACGTACCGCTTGTCAAGCCATGCTGTGGCGGTGTCCCATATAAAGTAGAGGAAGATGGGCATGGATGTTAGCCCAGGGCAAAGCTTCCTCAGCAAAAAGAGGATTGGCATCAGATGTTAGCTCAGGGCTGATCTTCCTCAAAAAAAAAAAGAATGTGATGTGAAGAGACCAGGCACAGGGCAGAGTGGCAGGGACACTTCCTTGGAGGGGTGAAAGGAAAGTGAGGGGTCAGGGAAGGACTCTGTAGCCAGATGGGAAATGGAGAAGATAAAATGATGGAGGAGAGCAGGAAATAGATCAGGGCTTCCTTCTGCCTGCCCCGTGTCACCTCTACCCCATCTCTTCCCCAGTCACCAAAGCCTCTTGACATGGACTCTGAGGTTAGCTGTTGACCAAGGGCAGCTGAGGAGCAGCTGCAACCTGCTTGGTTTGCAGATATCCAAAGGTGACAACCAATGCAGATGGAAAGAAAAGGTCTGGGGCTTGCAGTTACGAGGGTCCCCCGTTCCTCCAGGAGGGTTGGAGGGTTTTTAGCCCATTCCCAGATCACAGAGCATCCCAGGTATCCACGTATGGTACCTGGAGCCCCAAGACTAAGCTCAGCAAGTGAATGGGGGAACCACAGAGCAGCCCCATCCTCCAGGTTGCAAAGGGGGCAGCTGAGGAGGTCCTGCAGGCTGTCTCGGAGACACCGGCTGCACACTTAATGAGTGACATTCTTATTACACAGGATTTTCTATTAAGCAACCTTCTTGATATAACTTGAAGGTGAGGGTACTTGACCTGTGTTTCAAAATTTTCCAGCAATGCTGGGAAATGGACTGCGTCACACTTGACAAAATTCCATTCAAGTAATTACCCAGGGAGAGGTATTATAATTGCACAGATGTAAGTGCTCCATTTCGTGGGTTTAAAAATACCAACTGTGCAGGGCTGTGGTAAGCATTAAATGAGATAACGTGTGGACAGCTCTTGGCACAGACTCCTTTTTAGTCTTTTCCCTGCAGTCTTGCAGATGAATTGAAAGCTTTGCTCTGGCCCAGAGGCCTCGTCCTTGGCCTCAGCCCTGGCAGCTGCATTCTAATGGCTCTGCTAATCAATGTTGCAGGTCCACGGTGATGGAGCCCCAGGCCCTGATCCTAAAAGCCCTGACTCATGGTTGGTAGAGACTTTTTTCAGAAAAAGCTCTTCTATTCTTTTTCAAGAACTACGAGCAGCTTGGCCCTCTGTGCTTTCTGCAGCCGCAACAGATCCCTCAAAGAAATCAAGTTAAAGAGGGCCTTGCAGACAGCAGCTTTAAATGCTCCTGGGTGCACATTCAAAATCAAGAGAATATTCAAGTCAATATGGAGGACAAACAGTATGTGTGGAGCACTAACCAAGAGTGGGAGATTGAATTATTGGCGCTAATTCTTCACGCCTCTCAGTATCCACACCCTTACCATGGCCTCATTTTGGGCAGAGTAATTCCACACTTTTTGATTTGGGGCTTGACCATATGACTTGCTGTGGGCGATGGAAAGGAATAGAAGTGACAGCATGCCAGTGCCCAGCCTAGACCTTAAGAAACCTCATATGTTTCTGCCTTCACCATAAAAGAACTTCCCCTGGGGAGATGCTGCCCCATCAGGTGGACTCCAGAATGAACACACGTGGAACAGAGCCTCCCCAAGTGACCCACGGACCATCACAGAAAGTGAAAGCTGCTGTTGCTGCCAGCTTGTGGCAGAGTCACCCAGCCAAGCCCAGCCTAGATCAACAGAACCGCCCCAGCCTGCCTGCAGAGCCACAAGAAAAAAAAAAAAAGAGTGTTGTTTAAGCCACTGTGTTTGGGGATAGCTTATAATGCGGCATTATTGTGGCCGTAGTGAACCAATACAACCTGTGATAGAATTGAAGAAATAAAATGGGAGGAAAAGAAATGGGGAGGGAGAAAAGAGCAGGAAAGAGAGAGGACGTGAGAGTTCCTTATACTGTTAGCTCTTTCTGACTAAAGACTGACATGGCCTGTTGCATGTTCTCAACTACAGGCACACATAGTGATAACACACCTTGGTGTCACATAGCCCGGTCATACCAGCTGCACATAATCTTGGGAACCAACCTAAGACCAAGCCCAGCAGGAGTAGAGTTCGCAGAGATTCAGGAAAGCAG